CTCTCCAGGCATGCTGAACAGAGAACAGGAAATCGGAGTAACAAAATACTTGCGAATAAAAAAACGTCAAACCCCGACAACTCCCGCCATTTCCCCTCTCCATCGACTAGCTTCACACCACTCTTCCTCTCTCTAAAAAAGCACATAAACAGACGCGCCACCCGCAATCGTCCACCACTCCTCCAATTGATGCTCAGGCTCCGTCCATGCGTCTCTATACGCTCCATTTACTCCACGCGCCACTCCAAGCTTCTCTCTCCTCTGATTCCCTCTCGCTTCTTCTCTAAATCCCCATCATTTCTAAAAACCCACACTCTCACTCTAAACCCTAATTCCAAGATGTCCTCCTCTCGCCCCTCCGCCTTCGATGCTCTCATGTCTAGCGCACGTGCCGCCGCCTCCGCTAAGAAAAGAACCCAACCCCAACCCCAACCCCAATCAAAATCCAGCTCCCCCAAAAAACGCAAAACCCTAGACCATCCTCAGAACCCCGATAAAACGCTCAATTCCGTGCAAAATCCCCAAACTGATGAATCTAAAAAGCTAACCAACACTCCAGATTCATCGAATGAGCCTAAATCAGAACCAAATTCTAGGTCTGATAGCCTATTAAAAGTCAATGAATCGAATAAACTGAGAGTTGAGGATAAAAATACGGAGTTGAAGAGCAAGATTGTGTTGTTAAAGAAGAAAGCCGGGGATTTTAAGCCGGAGATGGTGGCTAATTGGGAGAAAGGAGAGAGGGTTCCGTTTATATTTGTTTCTTTGGCTTTTGATTTGATAGCGAACGAGACAGGGAGGATTGTGATTACTGATATTGTTTGTAATATGTTGAGGACTGTAATGGATACTACTCCGGAGGATTTGGTGGCTGTGGTTTATTTGTTAGCTAATAAGGTTGCCCCTGCGCACGAGGGAGTGGAACTTGGGATTGGGGAAGCTTTGATTATTAAGGCGCTGGCGGAGGCGTGTGGGAGGAAAGAGAAGGAGGTTAAGAAGCAGTATAAGGTGATTGCTTTTTGTAGTTATATTGGTGGTTTTGTGTTTTGTTAGAATGAAATAAGAACTGAAAATGATTTTTTCTGTTAATTATTTATATGATTGCATCATTTAAGTTTTACTGTTCAGTTTTTGCTAGTGTGAAGATGATTTTAGTTGGCTGTGTAAAGATACTTCTTGAAACATGCACTTTAACTTAATGTTAAAAAAGAATAGGTGACGCTACAGAAAAGTTTGTTGAGCTAATCAAATTGCAAAAAAAGCGAAATGGGTTTGGGATGGAATCATAAATAAGAGAAATTTGCTATGAATGCTTTAGATATAGTTTTTATTAATTCTTCCATTGGACTTGCTGAAAAATGACTTTTTTATTGATGCTTTTATTGAACTTGTTGAAAACAGAAAGGAAAAATCATGTCATTCTGTGAAATTAGCTGCACACTATGCTTTCTTGAATGCTAAATTTAACATTTTGGATTTGCCATCTGGTTTATCAAGGAGAGTTGATGTGCACAAGTAACAACTATTAATATACAGCACAAGTAGCTTGATTATTTATCTTTGATATTCATGAAATCTACTCTTAAGAAACTGCTTATGAGTTGCTCATATAATAGAGGGCACTGGCTTTTATCATCTGAGTTGTTCCAGTTCCACTTTCAATAACTCATTTTTGAATTTTGTAACCCTGGGTTTTTTGAATTTTGGTTGGGATTGGTATTCAAGCTCATTTTTGCTTTATGCATGTTATTTTCAATGGCAGGACTTGGGAGATTTGGGCCTTGTTGCAAAAGCAAGTCGGTCATCCCAATCTATGATGCGCAAGCCTGATCCATTAACAATTACTAAAGTTTTCAACACATTTCAACAGATTGCTAAGGTACTCTCTACGTGTAAGTTTGACTTCTTGATACCTATAAGTTTGGAACCTTTGTTCACTTGGGCACAAGTTAACTTTCTTTTTGCAAGCAGGAGCAGGGGTTGCATTATTGATGCATTTGTTTTTGTAGAATTTTTATTCTGATGTATGAATAAGCTTTAGCCTTCATATCGGGGGTGTTTGTGCAAGAAAATCGCCATGCATTGCTGTAATTTTCATATATTTTCCCATCCCACCAATATAGTATATTACTAGTCCAAAATAAAGAATAGAAAGAACATTGTGCACGACCTTTGGTTAGAACTTAGAATCAATCATGTTTGTGAGTTAATTCATGGCTTGTGATGTCCCTTGAAAGAAATAGTGCATTAGAATTTATAGAGGAAAACAAATGTAATTTTTTTCTTGCAGTTTTGGCTTTTTTTGGATCCACTCTTTCCTCTATTAGGCCATTAGGCAGCACAGTTTATCCTTTCCCAAACAAAGAAAAGAATACAAAGAAACATTATTTGGAGAATAATGTGCTGGAGAAGGATTTACCCACTTTCCCGTGGGAAGTAAGTTAAACAATATAGCTTAATTTAACCAACTTACCTTATTTTCTGCAAAATATTAATAGGAATCTGGGAAGGATAGTCAAGACAAGAAAAAGAACCATATCAAGGCACTTCTTGTGGCAGCCACAGACTGCGAGCCTCAGTATCTAATTCGTCTGCTTCAGGTCATGATTAGAACATGTTCTCAGATCTTTTTTTCTTATGTTTGTTTCTCGTGGTCTAACCCTTAAACCTTCCTTTGGAGTCATTTTGCAGACAAAGTTGAG